ACTCCCAGTCCATGTCACACGGTTGCAGGTCGCAGGTTGCATGGTTTAGAGGGGAGGCGGTTGGTCCCGGTCTGACAATAAAAAAGAGATTGGGAGCTGAAGTCGTGGTGTGATGGGTCCTTGAAAGTACTAGCTACGGATATATGTATCCGCGTGGCGGAGTGTCAGGTTTCAACACGTGTGTGTCTCTTTTATATATTACTCGTGCCCATTACCATCTACGTTCAAAAAGGGAGAGCGATGAGGCTGCTTTGATCCGGCGTGTGGACGGAGAGTATCGAGGAAGCCTGGCCGAGTACATATAAGGAAAACTGCTGGAGCACTCCGTGCCCTGAGATGTGCTTTCTGCGTGTGGGAGAGAATGCGCTCAACCTCGAGACTCTTTGTTGTATTGAGTCTCAACCTAACCTAGCCAAACGTGTAGATCGGATCGCGTGAGATGGTCCCACTCGTTCTTGCGGGCTTCAATTCCGCCATTAGCTCATTTTATGCACAGAAAAAGGTGATCTGGGCCAGTCAGACGTAGTATTCACTAAAACGATTTACATTTAATTCACTTTCCTAAAACAGAAGCACGGAGAAGGCTCGGAATTCATTGCTGTGCCTCGTACCTCCGCACCCTTTTCGCATTTTATATTCTGGCACAAGCGAATAGGTACTCCAAGCATCCCGCGTCTCATTTCTTCCCTTCCTCCTCATCCAGCCCCAAGATATCGGGTACCGGCCCCTCAGGGACAACGCCGCTCGGGTTCAACATGACGAGACTCATAAAGTAGTGGCCCTTGATATGCTCGAAGCTGGTGGTGCTTTTAAAGGCCTCGACTTTCCAGTACAGGTGCCTCACCCAGCGGTGGAGGTGCGGGTAGTGTGTGCGGATCATGGCGCGGTTCGTCTTGAACAGGGACACGTAGACAGGGTCAAAGCGGATGATGGTCACGTAGAGGCGGATATCGGCTTCTGTGAGGGACGCGCCGAAGTAGTAGGGTCCGTCGCGGGAGGCGAAGGAGAGGTCCTGCTCAGCTCGGTCCAGTGCGGCGAAGAGAGCGGTCACGGCGTCGTGATATGCGGTTTGGGTCTGTGTGAGGCCGCATTTGCTGGAGGGGTTGCATCAGCTTTTGGTCTTGGGCCTTGCGTTCAAGAAAAAGAGGAAGAGGCACTTGGACTGGGGGAACAAAAGGAGCTGCACTCACTAGACACCGTTGTTGATATTGTCATAAGTCCATCCATTGACTTCGTCGATCTTCGCCCTCAACTCTCGCGGATAGAGGTCGACCTTTCTCCTCTCCTCGGGCAAAAGTTGGTCGAACTCGGTGTACAACATGCGGATGATCTCGCTGCTTTCATTGCTCACGATCGTCTCCGTCTTCTTGTCCCACAGCACAGGAACCGTGAACCGGCCTCCGTAGTTTGGTTCAGCCTTGTAATAGAGCTCCTTCACGCGCTTGAATTCCGGGTGCAAAGGGTCTGGAGTCACGTCCTCCATCGGCAGCGACTCGTCGGGCTCAACGAAGCGCCAGCTATTAACAGAAGACATGTGGTAGTGTACCGATGTGACGGAAATAATCGACTCCAGGCCCTTGAGTCGTCGAACGATCAGGGTCCTGTGAGCCCATGGACAAGCATATGAGACGTAGAGATGGTATCTGTCCTTTTCAGGAGGGAACCTCGCGCCCGGTTCACTTGAAATCCAGTTGCGGAACTGAGCAGCCGGTCTTTGCAATTCGCCCTTGCTGTTGAACAGCGTGGCCGGCAGGGCTTTCTCATCTGTACTCTGTTGTTGAGTGGGTGGATCACTGTCAGCACCATCTATGTGGCAGAACCCCTTTTCGGCATCTCGCATATCAAGCTCAGACGTACCTGGATAGACATGGTTTGGGATTCCACTCTGCTCGGAAGAGTTGGCAACTTGTTATACTGCTATTGCGAATCTCGACCCGAGGTCATGAAAGTATGTATTGAGAACTACCCACCAAGAATGCATTCGTTCAAAGGAAAACAATGCGGCTTGTCTTCTCACTTATACCTACTCGTGTCAAAGATCCAGGATATATAATCAGAGACTCCATCGTGTGGCCTTGTCTGGGTCGAGCAATAAAGCGGCAATATCGCCCGCACTTCCGCAGTGATGAGAGATGGGCGAGAATCCAACGTCAGTTCCATCCAGTGAAAGTCTATGGCGGTCTTGCTGGGATAAGGCCAAGCAACAAAAGGCATCATTTCCGCTTTGCTCAGCCATTGTCAAGCCTTGATGGCATTGGTGGTGTCCCCCACAAATGCTTCTCGCCCGATAAGCTCGGACGAGAGATGTACATGGTCACGTGAGGACCTTGTTGAGCAGTTGGAAGCACTACGGTAGCTTAGCAATGTCATGAAATTGTTTTGGGAATCCTTCACGTGTATCGCGTTGGCTCTCCAACTCACTCTATGACTTCTAGCATGAGAGATGGGAGGCTGGCCATTCAACACAGAGTCACCGCAAGCACTTCGAAGATGCTTCTAGCCCACCAGCCTCAACATTTCAGCTTGATTCCTTTTCGCTTTTCCTCTTCACGATGTTCGAACATGACTTGAACTCCGACGAACAAGGCAGAGCAGGCGCCGAGCATGAAGACGGCACCTTGCCAGGAGCCAGCAATCCCATTCACAAGCCCCATCAATCCATCTAATCCTACAGCGAAACCGACTAGGTTGGCTGCCATCATCATCAAAATGTTGAGGACTGCTCCAATCCCACAAATGACGCGGTATGTATTAGGACGATTCTTCCATTTTGATGCTGGGAACGCCATAGTCGCGAGAACTTCCGGTAACACGAAAAGCACAACCAACCAGCCCCACAATAGGAGGCGGAGTTGGATATCGTGCCACAAGGCCACGAAGGTGAAGACTGCTAGCATGTTGAGGATGCCGCGCACGGTGCCTGAGCCGCCACCAGGACCTCCTCCAAGGGGTACGTAGACGTAGCGGACTGTCCATCTGTTGAAGCTTCGGTGCCACGAGCGCCAAAAGCCAAAAGCCGAATAATTGTCGCTCATGCATCGAACCATGTTTTCTGGTGGGTCAATACCATCCATTAAAGCCCAAAATCTGAAAAACCGCCAGGGGATCATTAACTTTAGCCAGATGTGGTGCAGATTAAAGTAGGCGAGCATGCTGAGTTGAAACGGCGTATATACAGACCAGTCCGGCGAGGCCTTGGAGATGGCAACCATGTAGGCAGTGTGTATGAGAAACTCCATGCAAAACATTGTGATCAGAAGTCTAATCCCGTAGAGCGCGTTCCGTTTGGTCGTCACGGATGGTGGCCGATAGGTGGATTGGGAAATATAATCATTGAAAGTCAAGATCGGACCAGCCAGATACAGAGGCGGATATAATACATAGGCGAGGTATGAACGAAAGGAGGTATAAGCTGATGCTGGAGCTGGCATCTTGACTCGATCTCTTTCGGAGAGTGTAGACGCATCGAGTTGCTTCTTCTTGACATTGTCAGCGTATCGTCAAGAATAAGAGCATCGATCAGTCATTCACAACATACCTCAATAGGGCTCCCTGCTCTCGAGCGATCTAACGACCAGTAATAGTCAAAGTTGAAAGAGATCATGCGTAGCACAGTAATGTTGAAAAGAACCTCCCAGCGCGGATTTAAACCTCCGTAAGAATCCAAGAATTTGCTCCAATCGGCCGCAACGGGAAAGAAAGGCACCAGGGCCTCGGCCATGACCGAGTATCGGTAGCCTTGAGCAAGTTCATTGGCGAAGAGAATGGCAATGTTGAAAACCCACGTTGCTACCGGAATCGTGTCTCGGGGAAGGGCAGTGGCAATTTTGAAGTTGATGAACAGGATGAGCAGGATTTTGAAGATGGAGGAGCCGTTCAATGCAAGAATGTAGATCAACGCAGAACCAAAGTCGAACGCAAGTCGGTGTCGAAGCCGGGATTCGGCTGTGGACTGGGCAACAGGAGACTGCGCATTCGTACTGCCGTTGATAGACGGTGGATTGGGAAGAACGAGACATTCATAGGCCCGGCGAAGAAGAGGGTGCAAAATAACTAGAGCTGCCAAGTATGGGAGGTTGTCTCGAAACCCAGCATACTGGCCATCGGAGTTGTCCTGTGATCTATATAAGCCTCGTAGTTCACATACACTGACTGGTCTGTGTATTCCTAGACATACCACTTTCCGACCGAATAGCCAACCCGGAGAAAGAAGATGCTCATATTTGGAGTAGTTTGGGGAATCAGCTATTGTTCAAGCCTGTCAAATTTCTTGTCTTGCTCTGCGGTATGGAGATTGAGTTTCTTACGCTGCGATACACTGACTACAGCCCAATACATCTGTGGGACGCAAAACAAGAAGACGGCCAGATACACATAGAACTCGGTAGTCCTCCATCGTGGCTGTGATGCTTCTGTAGGTTGTGTCTTTCCATCTCTTACTGCCTGCTTGGAAGCCGCCTCATTGACAGACTTTAATGGCGTTGAGGAGGAATTCGTAAATCGCGTGTCGAGGGTATCAAGGGAGTACAGGTCGCGGAGGGATGACAGAAGGGTCATGTTCTCGTATGCATGCTGTGTTTCTTTGTAGGACGCTTGAGCACTTCAGAGAGGCCAAATAATCGTGGGATTCCCTGAAAGGTGTCCTGGACTTGTAATCGCTGGGTGCGCGTCGTGTGTTCTGGACAGAGAAGTCAATTCTAGGCCAATGAAACCCCGAGCATTTGCCCTGTCGCCTGCGCAAGAGGGATAAGGGGCAGTAGTCTCTTGGCATCCGTAGGCGCTCAATTGCCCCCCGCCTAACTACCTAGGCACGTTTTGGAAACTCAACAGTCAAAGACATCCTCTTCTGTGTCCCCTCACGTCGCTACCTGGATAGGTGATAATTCACACCGATGACATTTACATCTGATCTGCATTAATGCTCATTTCTCTGAGACCCTGGTCATGAATCTCGCACATCCATTACTTGAGCCACCAAAACTACTCATCTCAACAACGGCATGCCTTTAATTGAAGAACTACCAGTCACCACCACAGCCCGTGCCTCACATGGCTGGAGTTACGTTCCTGACAATGTTGCCCCTGTTCCTGCCCTCCAGCTGGGTTCCCGCAAACGTGGTCGTGAAGGAACGGTAGCACATGCAGCTGCACACAAACTTTCGGCAAAGCAAGAAAAGGCCATCCAACAGCGACTGAATGACTTGAATAAGGAAAACTATCGCGATGCCCACATACCAATACCGAAACGAGAGGGTGCAAAGGGAAAAGAGAGGAAGACCACACAAAATGTAAGGCGGATTCTCGCCTACAATAGGACGTTCCAGCATTATCTTGCAGACGAGGAAGCAGGGGTGAATGTTTATGGAAGTGCTGCCAACGTACCTGCTGCCACGATTGCTAGAGGTCAAGCGAGACAAGAACCGACGCAGAAGACAGCAGCAGACTCTAGGAAGCGGAGTGCTGCTGCGAACGATACTCCATCAACCAGTGCTCAGAAAGGATCTTCGCGCCGTCGGAACTCGTCTAAAAATGCCAAAACCACGCCTGTGAAGAATGCAGGGGGGGAGAGAGGCAGCACGATTGATGTCGAGATGCCCGACGCGCCTCGACCTACGAAACCCTCAGAGCAGACCTCCCCAACAACAACTGTCAAATCCACCCCTTCCACTGGAGAGAGACCGCAACCGTCCTCATCACCTTCAGCTAGTCAAGGACACCTTCCATCCTATGACCCAGCTCTCGACCGCGATCCGCTCCTCCGTACGCTTAATCTTCCCAAGATGCCATCAGAACGCGTCATGCAAGCTCTCCTATCCGAGCCTTCGCTGAGTTACGTTGCCGCGCGGGCCAAACCACTGGATCAAAACATGGCGGGTGATGGAGGTTTCGCCCTGCGCACTGGTAACAACTCACTTATGGCCAAGCCCCAGCGCTGGTTCTGTTCTGTATGTGGTTACTGGGGCAAAGTGAGGTGTAAGTATGGATGTGGAGAGCGGGTGTGTGGGTTGTTGGATTGTTGGCGAGGACACGAAGCGGTTTGTTCGCTGGCGGCAACAGGCTACTGAATTGAGGGTCTCACTCTCAGTCTCGTTTACTGCGGTAGGTGTCACCGACCTGCACCTCTGGAATCACTCTTGTGGCTCACTGAGCGAGATCATTTGCTGGGAAGCATACACCTCAATTCTCCTCTTGCTTTCTAAACATGATAGCATGTGCGGCGTCTGCACACTCGTCACCACTTAACTGAGACAAGGCTATCCGGTCTCACGTGCGCATGCGATGATGAAGCCATCCCAGCGGCATACTCATCGCCGGAAGTGAATCTGTGCCCTGTGTCTCCAAATACCGGATTGTCGATGCTCTAGCTGCTGTTGACACTCTGAGAGACGAGCCGTCACTGCATAACAAGATCGATGACGATCTTCCTCCCTTCCGTGCCGTGGTGTGTGAACGTCCGTCGCTCGATCCAGTCCCCAATCGACTTCCGAGAGCGATGAGCAGCTCCGCCAACAAAGCTCGAGCGAGTGTCAAAGCGCACGGCCGCCCGTGATGCTGGTACACGAGGAATTGTTTGGCAAATTGTATGGCATGAACATGCCATGTACGAAAAATACCGATCTCAAGTCTGCAAGGTGGAAGGGTGAAACCAGCAACACCTCTACTACAAATTCCATCATGCTAGTCATATCAACCATGCCAGCCATGTACCTAACGCAACCTGCATAGCTATCTAGGTCCTAGCCACTGCTGCCAGGTATGAGAACATACGTACATACGTACATACCTCCTAGTACTTACGAGTATCTAGGTATATATATGGTAGCATTCTATTATTTCCAACATCCATCAGTCTCGTACTTTCCCCGGTTAAAGCCAGGCATCTACTCTCTCCCTTGCTAACCTCACGTTGCCCAGGGTGATCATAGGTATCATCACATATCGTACAAGTCAGTCTTGTTCGTCGTTCATCTGTCATTGTAGACTACAATCTTAGGTAATAAATCGACCAAGCTACCTCGACAGGAAGCATTGTCTCCCAGCAAGAACAGTGAGCCGACGCTCTATCCTAACCTCGGAACAAATCGAGTCACCATTGTAACGAGCATACTGCCCATAGTATCTGCATCGAGTGTGAGCCACATTCTTGCAGTTCTCTGATACAGGGAGAGCACCAACTTCCTCCCTACCGGAAATGCCTACAGTAGATCCAATGGCAGCCATGAATTTTCCTCTAAAATTGCTACCGTCAATATCTCGGGCAATGGCTCACCGCTGGCAAGGCTTTGTGGTCTGGTCCAATACATAGATCTGTACCTCGTAGGCGGTTAATGATGTGCCCACTGGGCGGGTCAGGGGGTGGAGCAACTCGTATATGGACTTGGCGGATTCATATCAACCCAATCCGCCTTGTCTTGATACATGCAAAAGAACACTCTACGGCCTCTCCAGTCTCGGAAGACCTACATATGAATATCTCAGCGGCCTGGCCTTGTAGCATGATCGACTGACGCGCGCACAGCATGGCCTACTATGACGTCGACGCCATCTTGACAGACTCGCAAAAACTGCCCTGCACCTTCGAACTGGACGTGCCTGGCCTTGGATACTTGGATGGCAATGCTGGTGGGACGGTCAGTCGGGAGCCAGAAAATTCCTGTGTCATGAGTAGCTGCGCAGGAAGATAACAAAAAGACCCCGTTCGCTAATACATCGTGATAGATCAAGGCGGGCACAAAGATCGATCTGCCCATGTGGCTTGGTGTGATGCTGGCGGTATCAACGGGGTGAGTATATATATATATATCTCTCTCTCTCTACGCGTCTGCCAGGCACCTTGCAACGCGTGAGAAACATCTGACGGTGTCTCTCGTCTAGGAACACGCCTGGCGCTCAACGACTCGTCACGCTGGATTTCCCGGCGCCTCTTCAACAGCGCGTCATCAACGCGCTCAAAGCAGACCCCAAGACCGTCGACCTGCGCGCCCAGGCACCGCACTTCTACGCTCTCGGTGCCCGAATCATGGAGTTGTTCGATGATCGCGCGGTGCTGGATACCTTGTTAGATGTAAGTATGGTACTCGTGGCTTCTGACCTGCCTTTTACGGGCTTAAGCGCCTCCGTCAACCCATGGCGGCCAAATCCACACCTGATACTGATGTGAGAGGCGTTTTGCGCGTGTCTAGACTTTCAAACAACGAGCGGCAGAGATTGCCGATCAGGCACATAACCCCCGAGGCGCATTGGGTGACGGAGCAGAGTTTCTGAGAGGATTGGAGGAGAGTGAGCGACAGCTATTCAAGGCGGCACACGAGGGTCCCAAAGCCGTCAGAGCTTGGACGCAGGACTTGAAGAAGAATACTTGAAACTGTGGACTTCAAATGATGATGAGACAGGCACGCTTGTACGCGACATGACAGAAATATGCGGTGTCAGCAGACAGTTGTAACGAGAAACAAACGATGGCTCGTATCCCTGCAAGATATTCTCAGCCAACACCCCCGGCGGCTTCCTTGACCTTTGCTTGTTCCGGAGGCTCATCCACGAACTGCGGTGGTGCGACTTCATCCTGCAGGAAACCTGGGGTACTCTCGCCGATACCCATCTCTTGCTCAAACATCATATCCTCGCCCAGCGCCTCCAGCTCGGCGTCCAACTCGGCCTCGTCAACTTCATCGGGTACGTCGTAAGCGCGGCTTATACTTTCGTTGATCTCGTTGCCAATCTCCATCAAATCCGCCATTTCATCCTGCATCTGTTCTATCTTGTCAATGTTGATCTTGCCGTATTGTTGTTTCAGCGCTTTATTCGTGGTCTTCATAGCATCCACGGTGGTCATGACGTTCTTTAAATTATCTTGCATCACTCCGGCCTGTTCCATGTTCCATGATTGCTGCTGGAGTTGGTCCCGTTGTGACTCGTACATTTTGCGCCGTTGTAGGACTTTGAGGGCTTTCTGCTTTATCGCCTGTTTCCCGGGGCCGTCGCGCATCTTGGAGAGTTTCTGCTGGTATGTGGAGAGTTCGGCATTGATTTTGGCGAGCTTGACATCGAGAGAGTCGATCCTCGTGTCTACCTGCGACAAGGGTCAGACCATCCCAAGCTGTCCGGCGAGGGGCAAGGACAACCCACATTTTGTATAGCGCTGTTCAAGGTCGGCTTGGGAGCCGTGTTTTTTGAACCAAAGAGACGATTCATCTTGTGTGAGTCCTTGAATCAAAGGGTGCACCCATGTGCGAGAGCAAATATACAGGAAATGTCGTGTTTGTGCTCGAAACACTCGAGTGCCTTGTAGATGGAGCAGCGATGCAGAGAGAGAGTTGCCTGTCCAAGTTGGGCTTCTGAAGCGTCATTTCGCTCCGACATTTATCCGGCGGCACCCAGCCATCATCCCACCAGCACCCATCTGGCATTTTACCACTTTCTCATCTCACCCTGCGTGGTGGTCTTGTACTCTGTTCAAAGCATCTTCACTATGCGCCATAAATATATGAATCATATCAATGTTGTTTACGACTTAGCAATTTCTGGTCGCCTTACTGAACAATGCTGATGAATGTGACAGGCCGAAGGTAAGGAAAGAAGGGAGACCAGGGGTAAAGGATCGTCCCGCACGAGATGCTGGTGATTGACTCAATCGATCTGCAGATGCGCAAATTGATAATTAGCACAGGAGCCTCATCCTTATGCTGCCCAAAGCATTGCCAGATGATCCCGGAAATATTGCACGTGTCCTTGCGGCGCCCCCTTTTTTACTTCGTTCTTTGTGCCACCTCATCTGCATCTGGTGTAACGCCTCCCATGCGCCTGGGCATTGTCATCATTTTCACTTGTTAGTGCTTGGGCCGGTTGGATGGTTGGGCTTCAGTGGGAGCCGCTAAGATATCTGGGGGAGGCTGCCATTCGGACTTTCTAGGGAGCCATGTGGCATGGGCATTTTGTGGCGGGCAATAATCATCAGGAATCAGGATAGGCGGCTGGTTGGGCGCGGTGCGAAAGGAAAAAGGGGGGCGCTTGTTTGTGGAGGCGCCAGCAAATGGGCCACAGGGCAAGGCATCATCTGCTAATGGTCCGTCGCAAACTTGTCCTTGTGGCCGACGGGACTTCAGGACTCCAGCTTCTTCAGCCGGCGTTGTACCTCGTGCCCAAGTCACTTAGTACTTCTTCACATCACTTGGCCCTTTTTGCCTGCGGTCCGTGTTACATGTAGCACAACTCTTGTCACTACTATTACCCGACCCTGTACTACAACCTATTCAAGGCGCCAGCCATAATACTATCGCTCCTCCCTACCCTACAAACGCCCGGCGCTGCTTTTCATGTGAGCTGGAGATTGGTGATTGCGTGAACGGTGCAGTTCTGACTTCTTCGCTGCCAAGTTCGCGCGTGGACATTCTCTCTTTTTTGGTTACCCGCCGAACCTCCAACCAGAATCCCGATTCATCCACAACTCACAAACCACCGCTCAATTACCTCTCGCGCTCAGACAACTTCCTCCCTACAATAATTCCTCCCAGGCGAACAGTCCTTGACTTCAGTCTTTGACCGCAGTCTGGACTTCTCTTCCAGTCACTCCTTTGTAACAACAGGTAAACATGCGTGATTGCACACTCCGAGTTGCCGGCAACATCGCACAGAGATTCCCGGTTGCTCATCTTCTCCATGTGTTTTCAGAGAGCTAACTTTTGGACATTGACGACAGCGCTGGACCGTCTGTCTATGTCTTACTCAATATTCAGCTCACGAGTTACGACTTCCCACTGCTTGTTACTTGACGATCACATTCCTACGATACTGTATCATTACTAAGACCTCCTGCATTGCTCCGATCGCGTCCGAATCGCAGCCGCAACCATGTTTTGGCGATTTGGAGGCTACTCCAATATATCTTCTATCGACACGCTCCTCGAAAAGCCCAATGTCAGGCTCGAAGACTTGTTGGAAGAGACCGACCTCATTCAGGAGCTCAAGTCGCACCACACTAAACTGATAGAATATCTGCGCGATGAACCAAATTTACATGCTCTCCTAAACTACGTTATTGCCCCTGGCCCTAAATCTGAGCACGAAGAAAATGAGGAGGATGAAAAAGGCAAAGGCCTCGTGACGGATAATGAAGATGAGCCGCAACCTCTGGACGAAGAACAAGAGAGGGCTGAGAAGATGCGCTTGAAATATGCCTATGTCGCGTGTGAGATACTGTCTTGCGAGACTTGGTCGATTACAGAGTCTCTGATGGCCAACACCCCTTTTCTCACCGAGTTTTGGGATTTCCTGCGGCAACCTGCTCCATTGGACCCTCTCCAGGCTGGCTATTTCACAAAGGTCAACGAAACCCTGCTCGAAAAGAAGACCGAGGAGATGTTGGATTTCTTCAAATCGCTTCCGGGTATCGTGCCCGCCATTCTCCAGCACGTCGACTGTCCAATGGTGATGGACCTGTTGTTGAAAATCATCAGTCTGGAGAAATCTGACGGCGGAATGGGCATCGTGGATTGGCTTCAGGGGCAAGATCTGATCCCAATGCTCCTTTCTAACCTGTCCCCCGAATGCAACTCCTCGACCCAGACTTCTGCCGGGGATTTCCTGAAAGCCATTATCACGATATCTGCAAACGCGGCTCAAAATGAGCAATCCTGCATTGGTCCCAACAGCCTGACACGCCAATTGGTGTCGGAAAAGTGCATCCGACAGCTGATTTCATACATGCTCAGGGGCGGAAACCCGCTCACCGTGGGTGTGGGAATCGTGATCGAAGTTATCCGGAAGAACAACTCAGACTATGATCCCGATCAAGGTCACAGCGCTGATGCTCCTCCAACTAACCACGACCCCATCTATCTTGGCACCCTCCTGAGGTTATTTGCCCACCATGTTCCGGACTTCATGAACCTCATCCTCAGCTCTAAGCACACTGTCACCGAAGGCGAGGAGACCAGGGTAGTAGAGAGAGGCCAACTCAAATCGGCATGGGGAACACAAATCGAGCCTCTCGGCTTCGACCGATTCAAGACCTGCGAGTTGATGGCTGAACTACTTCATTGCAGCAATATGGGTCTTCTCAACGAGCGAGGCAGTGAAGAATTCATCAAAGCCAGAGACGCCGAGAGGGAGAGACTCAGAGCGCAAGGGGCGTTTCTGTCTACCAGGCAATCGGAAGATTCGACCGTCGACATTTCCGCGAGTTCATCGAGATTCGAAAATGCATTCACCCCGTCGGGCTCCACCTCGACTGAAGAGCTACGCATTGCTAACCTCAATGACGAAGATGGATTTGAAAAGGTTGCTGTGTCTGAAGCGACAGATCTCGCTTCAAGCTCGAAACCAGACTCGGCTGAAAAGCCCACGCTATCTCCGCGATCCTATGACCAAGCAAATACGCCGACTGGTGCTCTCGATGAGACCGTTCGCCGTCTCAGCCTTGAGGACACGGACATGACCGCACCCGACGAGCATGAGGTGAACACTCTGACTTCAACACGGGAATCCCAGCCCGAAGACATTTCGCCCCATCCAGACGACAAACCTGCACCATTGTTCTCAAAAGCATCGGATCCTAACAAGACACCCACGGCGAATAGCCCAGAGCCGCCTACTAGCCCGTCTAACTCGAAACTTCGACTCGATGAAGGACAGCCAGAAGGAGAATCATTCCAATCGGGTCACGATGACACAATGCAAGTCGTCCAGTCAGAAGCTCCTGCTGTGGGCGAGGCACCAGTTGTTGGGGATTATCTGAAAATTATGTTTGTGGAGAACAGGGTTGTCCCGACGATTTTGGTGAGATTTTTGTTCTGCCGATTCTTGTGAGGTGCTAATATCGGACAGAGCTTCTTTTTCCGCTTTCCGTGGAATAACTTCCTCCACAACGTCGTGTATGACGTTGTGCAGCAAGTTTTCAACGGGCCCATGGATCGCGGCCATAACCGATTTTTAGCGTTTGATCTCTTCGAAACTGGTCGTATCACTGACGCCATTATCGAAGGGCAGAGACGAAGTGACGAAGAACAACGGGCGAGGAATATGCGCCTAGGGTACATGGGACATCTGACACTAGTAGCAGAAGAGGTCGTCAAGTTTGGCGAACGACACCCCAGAGAGTTGCTATCGCCTATCGTTCAGGATTATATCTATTCTCAGGCTTGGGAGGAATACGTTACCAAGACACTCGCCGAAACCAGAGAACGCGACAATGCCATCTTGGGAGGGTTTCGACCAGATAACGGTATCGGATCCAGGCAAGCTGTTCTGAATGCTGTGAATGCTGGACAAGGCTTCGGTGTTTCGAGTGGCTTGGCTGGGGTTGGACTGGGTGGAGGCCAGCATGGTCTGGACAGCATCGACTTGTCCAACAATGGTAGCGCCACTAGCGCTGGCTACAATTCAAATGGATCAGTTTCCAGTGGGTTTGGAAGCTCCTCTGACGACGATGACGAAGATATGGATGACGCAGAGGATGAAGAGCATGTGAGGACAGTGAATCAGCTTTCTGCTGCTGATAGCGGTCTCTCGTCGGAGAGTGTGAGTGGGACCAATACAATCCAACGGCTGTTTACGTTTTAAGCTAATGATGTGCTCTGCATTTGAAACAGTCCGACCAGCCAATACCCTTACTTCCACCTCCGCCAGCACCACTCAACATTGAGCCGTCACGTGCTCGCCGACGGTTGGCTGATCGATTAGCGAGACACAAACAAGAGGCCGAGCAGGAGGTGGCAGCGTCCGAGTTCGGCTCCGAAGCAGACGACCCATTCGCTGCGCTGGGGAATGGCGATGACAACGATTCAGGCGACCCGTTCTCGTTGGACGAAGAGGAACAAGACATTACGACGTTTGGGAAGCGGAGTAATATCAATTCGTTCAATACAAACACAAGCGACCACCACAGCTTTTCGGTCAGCAGAGGACTGACCAGTTTGTTTTCTTCAGTACCAAGTCGAGAAATGCATGGACAAACGTCACACGACGACTTTGATGGGTCACTAGATGACTCGTCGTCTGATGGGTCGGGTTCTGACATAGATTCGGGAAATCCACCTCTGGAAGCCAGGACAAGTCTGGAGCGGCGCCCGCTGGAAGTTTTTGAAGACGAAGAGATGGGAGAAATGGTGGCTCCAAGCGAAGAAGTCGAGAGCAACAGTTCTGACGAAGAGGTGTTGAGTCCGTTGGAGAGAGAGAAGTTGGAAAACGCGTATGGA